CTTCTCTCTCTGCACTCGATATATGATCCATTGTTGATCTGCACACAGCTGTTGTCACGAACGTCGCACTCGCTTACATCACTGTCATGAGACATTCTCGCAAAAAAATCATGGTTTTAGTAACGCAGTAACGCAGCGTTCCTACGGGAAGTAACAGTAATCTAATTACCGTTTTTGCAATAGTAATCCCTTACTTTACTCGTTACTTGAAAAAAGTAATCGGATTACAGTAACGCGTTACTGCCCATCTCTGGTTAGTGGTATTACAATGAAGTAGTCACATAGTAGTAGGCCACTTAAAATCACAGCAGGCGCTGAGGTGCGTAGTCCACAGAGGTCGCTAGCTTTCTGCAGAGTCACTATAGGCCTCCAAACTTACTGTGGAATGTGGAGTGGATTGTGTTTTCACAGCCGAGCAAATGCTTTTGGCAGCACAGTTAAATTTTTAATTGGACATTTTATTTTAGATCAAATGAAATGCAAGTCACAGCACTTAGACAGAACCAGCAGTATATACAGTGTAACCTAGTCAACGAGCAGTGAGTTTGCAGTGAGCAGTTTTTTTTAATGTGAAAAGATTTGTAAGTTGATCATCTTTACATATGAGCAGTGATCCTGGACAGCTGATCACATCTCTTCTTGTTCTCTGCTGCCACTCCTCCCCCTTTTATCTTCATTCACTATCATGACTTTAACCTACTTTACTGCTCTCTTCACTGACGATGGAGTGCATGTGTCATCAGAATTGTGAGACGAGGAACAGCTGCAGCTCTTACCGCTGTCAAGGTGGTTGGACTTGATGATCCTCTCGGAGTACTCCGATATACTGGAACACTCAATCTGGCAGAAAAAAAGAAAAGCTATTTAAGTGAAGAATTTCACAGACACTTTGCCTGTACTCACAATAACATGACTTCACTTATAATGCAGGCGATTTTAAATATTACTGCCCTACTGATGTTGCCTGGGAAGCCCTGGAGCCAAACTACCGCATGTTACCGTATGTTACTGTATGTTACGTTGCTGTTGCAGAAACTGGAAACGTTACATGCATACTCCATGATAAATTACAAAAGTAGATAGAAAATAAATAACAAACTTCTAACAAAAAATTTCTGAAACTCTTGAATCCGTTTAGTCATGCAAATACAGATGAATTACATATTGGCAACAACAATAAATCAAAGCATAAAACCAAAAAGCTTCAGTTTCATCCTTGCGACTGATACTGTAACAGCAGTCTGGCGAGGAAGGGCGGCTAGCAGGTCCAGCATTTGTGGAGGTTAGCCAGATAACTCGAAGCCAGTCAGTTAAATCGAACAACAGATCTTTATTTGTTGTTAGCAACATAAGACCATACAAGCCAGGTCTCCACGGCTCTACTCTGTCCGTACATACATGCACGGAGATCGGTAGTCGCCGGTGCCAGCCCGTTACAATGGTGAGGTCTCTCTGAACAGACACACGAGCAGCATGTAACGCCACTTTACTCACACACACTGGCTGTGCTATACCACAATAATAAAGGTTGTTACAATATGTCATTTTGTGTGATATTTTTAAAATTGTACTTGAGCAGCATTTTCCAAATGTAACTTGTTAAAGTTGTGCTAATTTTTGTGCAGGATATATTTCCAGAGTGTAAACAAACACTTAGCACACTTTATTTAGTCTCACACACGCGAATGTAACTGAAAGCAGCACCTTTTATTACTGGAAAAAACGAACATTAAATACAAAACTAAACTAGAAATTGGAAACAAGAAACTTCAACTAGAAAACAAACCAGGAACTGTAAACTTGGAAATACACAGCACTGTGAGGGTACGACGCGACAAAGGGCAGCACAGCTGGGAGTAATCAGACCTAACGAGACAAAGGAAGCAAAGCAGAATAATTGACAAAGGACACAGACTGTCAAAGTAAAACAGGAAGTATAACACAGAGACGCAGACTTGACACTGAGACGGAGACACGACTGACTGGAAAGACAGAGGGAACACGAAGACAAGCGTGACAAGACGAGGGACACGAGAAAGCCAAAATAAACCAAAATCCTAGCACTAAAAGTATAACACAAGCACAACCAAAACCCATGAATTACAATAATCAAAGAATATAACTGAAACATCTTAATCTATCATTTAAAAATGACCATTCCAACCTTTTTCGAGTTGGTGGAACTGTTCATAGAGTTTCATAATGTAACAATAAAGCACAACCTCTTGATGCACTGTTGCAAGATGGCACAAGTTCGTGTAGACAAGCAGTTTGTTCCACAACAAAGCAGTGAATTGTCTAGGATTATTATATGTGTCCACCACAGCTAATAGCTGATCAAAATTTGATCACACACAAGGACACTTTTTTCTTTTTAAACTTTAGAATATTGTCTGACACTTACAGACACTGACAGTGACTTTGGTCACACTGACATTGCTATACTTGATAATCACATTTCACCGTGTGAGTTGAGATTAAAAACAAATACAGAACTGAGACTGCAATTTGAATCATTGCTACAGGCAGAAATGTCTGTGTAACAGTGTAACCATCCATAAAGCTGTCTGGGGTAAAAACAAGGTCATCCTTGTTTAGTATCTCTAAGCTGATGCTGCGCATTCGACAGACAGAATAAATCTGAATAAATAAACAGAATAAAACCCTGAAGGCTTTCACCTGCTTTAACCTGGTTAAATTTAACCTGGTCACTAAACCTGAAAGAGTTGTTAACCTAGTCTCTATAATACTAATAACAATAACAACAACAAAATCAACTATGGATGTGTGTCCCTAAAGGACTGCAGTTCTGTATGGGGCATGGAAAGTATTTCACTGAGGAACACAGAGTTCAAGATGAGGTGTAAGGTAGAAAGTCCAGTAGGTCCTGTGGAGCAGTGAATGGGTTGGTAGGTGAGAATTTTTTAGGAAACACTTAACCGGGAACCAGTGCATAAAATTGGGGGTGATACATTTTTCTTTCTTTTTCTGCTCTTGACGAAGGCGGTCGCACTTTTCTCCTCCTCCTCCTCTCCCTTAGCTTCCCTGCTTAGCCTCTTATGTCCTTGTCTAGTCTCGTGTTTTTTGTATTACTTTTCCCTGGAACACTCTCTCACAGTCTGTTCTCTAAAACCTAAAAGAGGAATTATGGATTTGATCAACTGGTCCCTAAATGCAATTGACACCCCTTTCTCAACGAGAAGTTTGGGCTCGGGTGAGCCTGAGTGCTGAAGATATCTACCTATTCTTGTAATCGGAAGGTTGCCGGTTCGAGCCCCGGCTTGGACAGTCTCGGTCGTTGTGTCCTTGGGCAAGACACTTCACCCGTTGCCTACTGGTGGTGGTCAGAGGGCCCGGTGGCGCCAGTGTCCGGCAGCCTCGCCTCTGTCAGTGCGCCCCAGGGTGGCTGTGGCTACAATGTAGCTGCCATCACCAGTGTGTGAATGTGTGCGTGAATGGGTGGATGACTGGATATGTAAAGCGCTTTGGGGTCCTTAGGGACTAGTAAAGCGCTATATAAATACAGGCCATTTACCTATTCGGAACCATGGTAACAGGGTTCTGGCTGATCGGAGCTGGCTTGGCCCTGACTTATCGAAGAATTAAGAAAGCGGAACCGGCTGTTCAAACCCCCACAAGGCTGCCCGCTGGGATTGAAACGATGGGAAGAGGCGTGAGTTTCTCAAAATGGGCTCATTGAGTGCAGCACGGATAAGATCTTGGAGAGGCTACGGCTGCTGTGAATACTCAGAATAAAGACCTTGATTGATTGATACATACATGCAACATACTGCAGCTTGTGTGTGTGTGTGTGTGTGTGTGCGCGCGCGCGCAGGGCTTTGTTTGCAACCCAAACAGAACACTACCGTAGCAGTCCATGTCAGAGGTGATAAAAGCGTAAATAAGAGTTCCAGCTGCTGAATGAGAATTTCTGTTGCTGAGTTTAAGGGTATGAGCTGTTGTCTGGAGATGTTCTTGATGTGGTAGATGGCAGATTTAGAGATAGGTTTAATATAAGATGAAAATGAAAGAATGGAGTCCAGAATGACACCCAGGTTGTGAAGACTCAAAATTAAGGCCCAAATCAGACAGCTTTTAAAGCAGTGACGTAGGAGCCACAACCAAGACTTCAATTTTATTTTGTTCTATTTGAGAGAATTGGTTAAATAGTTTTAGACTGCTGATAGGGGACAAAGCAGGGAACTAACCAGAGGGTTTAGTGCTTAGATATAACTGCGTATCATGGATGCTTAGTCGATGGTGGAAGATGATCTGACCAAGGGGGTGAGATGAAAAGTCCTTACTGACTCACTGGAGCAGAGAATGAAGTAGGTGTCCAGGTGACATAATGCATCCTGAAAGCAGGAGTGAAGACAGCGCTCAACCAGTGAGGCCAAAATAGTTGGATAGCTGGTCTTGGCATATTTTGTACGTTCTCTTCTGCCTCAGAGCTGATTTATTGAGTTGCCACTGATATCATCGTTATAACATAATAAAGCTCATTGATTCATCAAACTACACTAAGGCTTCTCTCAAATAAAATATGGACATAATTCAGCAGAATACATTAATCAATACTAGGCTCTTACAGCACTGGGAATCTGAGAGTATAGATTTTCACCTTTGAACACTGTGTCCCATTTGCTTAGTGTTTTTGTGCAGCATACTGCTGCTGCATGCTGCAACCGACCCATCTGGTTATAGTCACACAGAAGACCCTTTAATGAACCCTGGGTGCTCTGTGTCACAAAGCAGCCGGTCAGGCTGGGGGTCTTGTGGATAAGGTAGCCACAAAAACGAGGCACTTATTTTTGTTCAGTGCAAATAAGTGCATGTTCTCTACTAACTCTCAGAGGTAAGTTGTACAGCTTTTTTTGGTTTACTTTATTTATCTTACAGTTTAAGTAATTTGTTACATTAAAAATTTGACTTTTTATACAAAAATTATAAATGTAAAAAATGTAAATGTACATTTTTTAAACAAATAGGTTGTAGATGGGCAGCTACTCACCCAGCTCCTTCCTATTCTGAACACTTAAAGAATTTTCTACTGTAGGGTACATTCATACAGTGCTTCCTTTCACGCCATGAAGCACCTTCTAACTTTCACGCAAAAACTTATATTAGTTCAGAGATTTTTTGATGGCATTTCTCAGTATTTTCAGAGAATTTTCCAACCATTTATTAAATTAACCCATTAAACCAAATAAATTAATAAAACCCCATTTTTACATCAAATTGTCACTAATAATAATATAATGCTATAAGAGATAATAGTGCAGCACTTGTAATCTGTAAGTGCTGCACTATTCAATAGTATGACCAGCTTTTTTTATTTTATACTTAAAGTATATTTTCCTTGTACTTGCCTATTTTTACTTAACTCACAGTTACGCATGTAAGACAGAGTCATTTTACAGTGTGGTGTTAGTTGACCCTGTACTGGCATGGAAGAATGAGGTCTTTGAGGGCTATTATTTACAGGAAAGAAACCAGTTAAACATGCCATAAAACCAATGTTCCAATGCTCCAATCTCTGCTTATTATACTGCAGTAACTCAAATACAGAACATAAACTTTTTGGGTTTTTCTGCAGGCATATAGGCTGTAGGGACTTCACATTAGCACTGACTCCCCGGAGCAGCCTTGTTTTCTGCTGCTTATTAGGAGAGAAAGAGGAAGGAGGCTTCTGCTGCCTCTGGTGCCCATTAAAAAGACTGTACCAAATCCATAAATAACCAGCAAAGGCTAATGTTGCATCAGGTGTGAACATGTTTGTGCACTTGCGGAGACGCATGTAGCTGTATTGCTTTATTCATGCGTAATAACAGGTTCTAATTGGCAATCTTCCTCATCTCTTTCTGAGTCAAAGTCATAAGAGACAGCTATTAGCCACGTGTCTGTCATAGTCACGATCCAGTAGGAGCGCACTGAAGCCTCAGGGTGTATTGACAGAGGCACCCCCGCACAGGTTGCCTCTCGCACCTCTCGCTAGTGTCAGAAAGTGTCACTGTCACCGTAGACATCCCTGCAGGCTCCTGCTGGTATTTTACTCTGGAGACACAGCAAGTAGAAGTTTCTAACTTTGCCCAGATATCACTGTACTTTTTGTCCTCTATCTGAGCTATTAACCTGTGACTTACACATAGTTTAGTTTCTTTACTTTTTATTAGCAACCTTAAGCATTTTATTACTGGGCAGAAAATAAACTCTGCATCATACTAACATAAAGACATTAGAAGCACTCCTAGAATAATCAAAGCAGCTACACTGAGCTTAACCAGGTTTTTGAACAATGTACTGATTTTATCTGAAAAAACAGTACCTGGCTTTTCATGTGTTACTCATCTATTTTCTACAGTTTATCCAGGTCACAGGGACGGCGCTCTAAACAAAGCTACCCAGACGAATGGCCAACAGAGAGCTATACCTTCTCCCACATTGACTATTTCACTTACTTGCAGTTTAGGAGGCATCCAGCTGGATAGTGTAGTGATAAGACTACACACCTTGTGGAGCGGGACACCTCCCGGTATCCAGTAAGGGTCCTGGCTAGACCCCCATGCTAAAACCAAGCCCTGGAATGGCACGGCTACGTCTGCAGCCTGTCCGCAGCTCGGACGAAAGCATGGGTAAATGGACTGATTCTTATATAGCGCTACTCTACTCTCACTTGAGAACAAAACCCAGAGAGACTTTAACTCCTGAATTTGAGATAGAATCTCATCCCTGACCTAAAGTGGACAATCTTGTCTTTTCTAACTGGGAAGCAGAGCCTCGGGCTTGATGGTGCCAAAGCCAAAGGCTTCAATGGGACACCACTCAGTGAAGCCACCAGTACTTTGCTATCTGCAAAAGCAAAGATGTGATCCTGAGACCACTGAACTGGACACCCTCCACCTCCGAGAAAGTCTGTACATAAAAGTTGTGAACAGAATCAAAGGGCATCTCACTGCTCATTCAGTGTTACTAATGAGTAGATTTATCACACATAAAAGTGAGCTTGAGGAACTGAAGTATATGAAAAAGAATAATCCAGAATACGACCCTCCTCTGCTAACTGAGGACAGCAGCCAAAAGAACGAAGGAATCCAGCCGGCAGCAGGCAGGAAATTCAAAAGGGAGTGAATAGTGTGCTAATAGATTAGTACAAGTCTAGTTTGCCTTGACCCTTTATGATTTTGTGGTGCACAGGTCATGCGTAGGTTGGACATGTTACCTAAGTGTCTTGTTGCTACTTGGAATTGTTGAAGGACTACACTAAACACACAGACATTGTCATGTACTGTTCTTATTGATAAGGAATGATTGGGGGTATATTCGTCCAGCTCGTGAGCCCGGGCACTCACATCAAACTTCAAAAGCTTTAGGTAAGAAAATCCTGAAACTCCTGTCCCCATTTATGTGGATAAAATCCTGCCAGATGGACCGCAGTAACAAAACTCTGAATCAAATCAGCTAAAGTACTAAAACAGGATGCTAGAGAGAGGGAGACAAAAACTGACTGAGGCAGCAGGAGAGGAAAGGCAAGCAAACACATGACACAAGGCATAGTCACACACACAAACACATAATGTCATTCAGTGGCTCAGAACAAGTCTCTTGGCAATTCCAAGTTAATCATTCCTTCCCTGAAGCACTTCGTCTCGACCCACCATGCAAAAATAAGTTCCACATGGTTATCCCAAGCTAGCAGTGTGTGTGTGTGTGTGTGTGTGTGTGTGTGTGTGTGTGTGTGTGTGTGTGTGGTGTGTGTGTGTGGCAGTTCTTCTGTGCACATTTCAATGTGCTGTGCGCAGCAGGCATTCTCAGACATGCTCTGACTTGCAATTACTTCTGCCCCAGTGCTCAATAACACTAATAGCTTTCAAATCTCTGTGGTTTAGCTGGTCAGCCTGCCTGAGAGGTCACACAGTTTTATCACCTGCATGTCAAAAGAAATATTACCCAAGATTAGATGGTTTAAAATGTACTGTATGATCCAACCCACACAGCAGCAGACCTACATATGCACTACATGCTGACAATATAAGCGCCTTGTGAGGCTTGGGCTACATGGAGATCAGATCCTAATTGGTCCACATGTTTGCAGTTTACTGAAGGGAAACACATCTTACCCCATATACATGCTTTGCCCCTGCTTTGGCTGCAAACATAGAAAGGATCCCAGTCCCGCTTCCAACGTCCAGCACTATTTTATCCTTGAAGATGTGCTTGTTGTGGTACATGGAGTTCCTGTAGGTGAGTGTCCTCACTTCATCCTTCAACATTTCCTGGTTTGACATGTGAGAAAAATATAAGAAAGGTCCTGGCAACACGAACTCCTGCAGAAAGCGACAGTTTGTTGTGTGAAATTAAAAACATTGGCTGGACGTCAGTGGTCTGAATAGCTCCGATATCTACAGTGCAGCATTTACAAATAACACACAGCCTTCACCTAATCTTACTCTATTCCCTGTCAGCCCTGTGGTTCTACATTCAAATCCATTGTTGGTGTTTCTGAATAAGCCCTGTGAGCTCGCAGGCTCAGCCTGTCTGCATCTCTTTTCTGTCTGTACCTCTTTCACAGTGTGCGTGCATGTGTGAGTGCAAAGAATATTCAGAAATGACTGAAATACACCTGACCTACATTCCACAAATACATAAAAAAAAACATCCCACAGGTCATGCACGCAACATACTCTTTTTATACAGCCTCCAATGCTTCCTGCATCTGTTCTCTAAAATGCAGATGAACTCTGTGAACTCTGAGGAAACCGTGTGGACAAATAGGCATACACAACACAATACACACGTTTAATGTGTTCAAAAGTGGCTCTCTGTTCCTCAAGTTTTCAAAAGTTTCACCACATTTAAAACTGCTCCAGGCAGTTCATCACCATCCTACATCAATTAACAACTGTACATAGAGCTTTGTGGGGCACCTGCAAAAACCTGAGTTTTCCTGGGAAACATTTCTGTCAGGGAACGTTAGGATTTTCTGTCCTTTGAAAGGACTGGCTGATTGTAGCTCTTGCCATGGCCTAAACCATCTATGACATAAAGCTCTCGGTTTAGAGGGCGGAGGGGTTCACTTCAAGAAAAAAAAGAAGTCACACACAATCATCGTTAAACTATCCTGCCCACACACGGGCAAACTGAGGCAAGAACATGTCTAAAAGAGAAAAAGCAAGAAGAGCATATGAAATGATTAAGACAAGGATGATGCATAATCTAATAATTTTCTAAAATTAATTGCAAGTACACACGGGCATTGCATGCTCTGGTTCTGTGAAATGTGCCGCAGCAATAATGGAAATTAAAATTCCCTGTTTATTAAAAAATGCTTTATTGATCCATAAAGCTGATTGATTAACATATGTGATTTTCATCCACACTGCGATGACAAGGCGTACCTCATGAATGCCAAAGTGGGCATAGGAGTCAAAGTAGTAGTCTCGCGAGGTCATCTCCTCTGGGTTGAGAAACTTGGCCATCTTACCCCTCCCTGGACAGCTAGGGAGGCTGGCGGCGTGGGGCGTGTGCGGTGGAAGAGGAGGCCGAGGCGCATGCTGGATAGAAGGCACAGGCTTGGGTAACGCGGTTGGCTGTGCCGACTGCGATGGAATTATGCGGATGGGCTCTGGTTGCGACTGTGGTTGCTAAAAAACACAGATAAAGAAGAAAAACACCTCTTCAGTGCCGCGGCCTGAGGCGTAAGAAACAAAATAAGTAGAGGCTGCAGTAAGGTTGTGGTTTGCATTCATAAACAGGGATTTTACACGTAAGCTATTCTCCTTTACATTTTGTTCCTGCACTCTTAGCTCATGTTCCCAGGACAGAGTTCACAAAGTGCAGAGAGCCCTGTGAGTCTGGAGGCTATGCTGATCACTGACATGGAGTCAACAAAAGCCAGAGATGGCAAGAAAGCTCATCTCAGCACAGAAGGTACACCCGTAATGCCCGGATTATCACCTATAACGCCTGCTGGGAAGCTCTAACCACGATGTGCATGGAGAAACAGAAACTTCACATCTCAGTATTGAGCCAATAAGCCATTCTGGTGTTTATTCTCATTCCAACTTGGGCGTCTAAAAATAAATGATAAAACTGGTAATTCCACCAAAAATAGGAGGCATTTACAGACAACAGTGATAAGAAACAAAGAAGGAAAGGATAGTGAAAGACTGCAAGACATTTTCTCACTCAGTTTCTACATAATATTAACGATATTTTATGAGTGTTTTTTGCCACCGTTATTGCCTCATTCAGTTTGCATTCATTCAGTCGGATCTTCTAGCAATTTCAGTTTAATTCTACAGCTTTAATTTAAGTTTTAATTATGCTTCTGCATCCTGTACATTTGATTTTGGGAAATCTATTTTGATGCCATGTTCAGATTAAGTATTGAGATTACAACAAAACTATCTTGTATGAAGCCCATCTGTATTTACACACGGTTATTGAAGGTTATTCAGATAACTGTTTCAAGTATTTTTTAAATGAGCCCAGCTTGTCATCAGTCCTTTAATTTATTCTTCTAGGAGTGACATACATCGTAAACATCTATACGACTTAATGAGGTGGATAACTTCCCTGGCAGATGAAATTATTCAATTCTCCTTTACAGTGAAAGCAAAGTATAAAAAATAGATTTCTATGTGCCGCACTGGCTTTTCCTTGGTTGAAAGAACTGATTTTTCGGTCCCCTTTTCTCTCTTCTCTCTTTAAAATAGCCATCATACAGTATTTATGTCTCCTGCACCTTTGTCCCGCAGGGCTTAAATGGCACACACTGGAATGTAGTTACCATGAAAATAAAGTAAATAATGGGTCTTGAATCATGAATTCAAAGAGAAGCTGATATGATTCAGTCTGTTGAAAGATTTTATTATGTTTATGTATAGAAGTACATTTCATTTGAGGTTCTCTAGATGTGTTTGCTCTTTTTACTAGAGATGTTACACTGTGCAAAGCTCAGCATAAAGTCTCTACCTTTGTATGTTATCTCTTCCACTCATGTGTCTGTGACGCAAACATGCTTGAGTATAAATAAAGAGTGGCAACTGCTGCGGAGTGTGAGTCTCCGTTTGAGCTCTCACCCGTGTGCACGTTAAACCTGCAAACCTGTCTGAGTGTCATTTATTCTGACCTGAGTTGCATTACAGGAAAACTCCTGACACAGTCAAATGTCAGGTTTTCACTACTGAGTCATACGAGAAGCCGTGCTACCTGTCTGTTATTTATTCAAATTATATTGACTGATGATCCTTTAAGTTCTTCTGTAGTTTTCCCATCAAGGTTTTGAAGTTTTCAATGAAATGTCAGATCAGCTACTGTATGCCTTTTAGAGAGACGTAGTCTGGGTGATTTCCAATAAAACTGGTGAGCTCCTGATTATTTTTGCCACCACACACAAACAAAGGAAGAAAAGATGATCCCATGAGCTATACTTGGCCAATTATAAGAGATTAAGATTCAAAATTTAAGAGTTTAAATCACATGAAACATCTTAAATATTTTGTTAAGAGAATCAAGACTATTATTATTATTATTATTATTATTATTATTATTATTATTATTATTATTATTATTATTATTGTTATTATTATCATCATCATTATTATTAAATAGAGTTCTAATTGACCAGAAAAGTGACTGAATATCTAAAAAAAAGAAAATGTGAGCAGCACTTTCTCTGCAGCACAAGAGTAGCATTGAAAGTCATTACTATCTCTGCTTAGTGAGGTTCACAGGGTTTTGGATGTTGATAACATACAAGACCACATTCTTAATGAGGAGAGACCAACTGTTGAACTTAATACTTAATCCTCTCAGCTCTGATGTTGATCTGCAGAGGAGACACTAGTTCATTGCAGAGCATTACCATACTGCGTGAAGGATTCATTTTCTCACATGTTACTCATCTGGATCACCAAGGCGACCGGTGGCCTAAAGTTACACTATGGTCAGCTCAGAGCTGCACACCATAGATGCAATTTAAATCTTGAGATCGTGTTAAGAAAAAATTACTAGCAACAGTGAAAAAAGAAAAAGAGCTGACAAACAGCTGGCACCAAGAGAGCACTGAGCAAGTCAATAATTATAAGACAGAGTCGCAGAAGAGGCGATTAAGACTGCCAAGTTTAATACAGAATCTGTGCAATGCAGGGGGAAAGAGTCATTGCGGGACAGATTAACGTGAAGTTAGGGGTACGGTCGGAGGAGAGCAGCTGCAGTGAGTGTAACCGAGATCTCCTGACACAGGAAAGAGAGGGTGAAGCACATCCTTGCCTCTAACCTTCAAAACAAATAAACACATTCAGGGTTCTATTTCAGACTCCTCATCTCTACACTGAGGGGAGACCTGTTATTCGAGAAGGACACACACTTACACATGAGAGGACACCCACAGCCACGTTGTAGCTGTGTGAACGCTGAAGTTTAGCCTGTAAGTTTATGCTGTTGCTTCTAGTCAGTTAGGATAATGGAAAATGGTGATGAACTATTATTTATTCTAATAAATGCACTAAAATTACACTAATTGTAGTAGCTGTATGTTAGTCGGCTGTTCATATTGGTGAAGGCATTTCACTGGAAAAGTCCTCTAACAGGAAAGAGCATACCTTTGGTCTTCTGCCATTATGCCACTTTGGGATATCTGATTCCCAAACAGGATACAGCCTCAGTGGCAGGGATATTATTATGAAGTATTTCCTATCATCTGCTCTCAGAGGTCAGAATGTTGATCAGATGTAATGAGTGTGTGCAGGGCTTCTTTCATGAACTTGCTTAGAATGAACTTTTTCTGATTAATAATTACAACAGAGCATCACGGGGTGTGACGCACACATCGCAGGGTGTTTGAATCTGCTAAGTATTACAATCAGCATCCCTCCTGTATCGACCTTTAAATTGTCAATTAGTGTCGATTAGAGTTAGAGTGAGGGGTGGGAGATTTAGTTCAAGTGGCTGAGACATGACATCTTCAGCAACCTACTCTACTTTCTGCAGAACTGCTTCACACCAGAAGTCTGAGCGTTCTCTTTTTCCTCTGCAAGGTGCTGCAGTACCTTGGACAGCTCTAATCCCCATCGCGCGCAGAGTGAAGCAGCTACACACTGTCCTGTTATATCTCACGCTGCTCACAGCATATTCTTTCACACGTAACACCCAGAGCTTCAAATACATTCATATATTTTTTTCAGACTTCATCTCATAGACTCTTGCCGGAGAACGTCTGCGAAGCAGAATGGATGAGTCGATCCTGCTCCTTACCCCGATCATCGTACGGCATCCTAATTTTAGCAGCTACAAAAAACGAGACTTTTCCAAGTGCGTTTGAGGTTGGGAATACTAATTTGAACTGCCCTGCTCTGCACAGACTGCCTGTTTCCTCGGGAGGGTAAACATCCTTGCAAAGAGGGAGACTATCAGTCTGGTCAGTCTCACTCTCTGGACAGTCGGCATCCTATAATTTGTCCGACATGCAACTTCTACTAGAGGTGGAACACGCAGGCTACTGCAAGAGGCATCCAGGACGCCGATAGATTCCAAAAAACTGGACTCTGATTTTTGTCAGGAATATTAAAGCTGTCTCTAACACTTACCTCAGTGTTCTCAGACTCCGCCATTTTTCTCCTGAGGAGCATGCAGCGGGACGAGTGCTTAATTCCCATAAGGGCCAGCAAAAATGTGCACTCAGAAGTAAAAGAGAAAAAACGTGTGCTTGGCGATTATCAGTCCCTTCAGTCCTTTGACATCAGAGAATTCTCATTTACATCCCAAATTGTGCAGTTCTTTAGAAATTCCAGTACTGCTAAAAAACCCAAAACTACATGAGGTCCCAAAAGCATTGCAGCCACTCTCGCCACAGAGTGCGTTGGATTCCATGGTATAAAAGTTTGCAGTCCACCGGTGTGCGTTCCTGGAGAGCGTTAGGGGGAAAGGCATCATTTGGAATTTGGCATCAGCTGAGATAAAAATGCACCATCCTGTCCTATAACGCAGCAAGCGCAGGCAGGAATGCATTAAGACTGCATCACTAACAGCAGAAGATTGTCATGAATGCAAAGATTTAGCGCCAGTTTGATTGATTCCCCTGCCGCAACATTGTTTCTAAAAATAGAACCGCAGCCGCCGCTACCTCGCAGAGCGGAAAGATTTGCCGCCGAGTGCACGCACGGAAATGTGATGACTCTTAAAACGTGCAGGGGGATTTCTTATAAGCACATGGCACCACTCATGCTGTCATCTTTAATGTAACAGAGCTCCCCAGAATCAAAGTCTATGCTCCAGTTAAATCGTTCCCCATCTGCACAAAGTGCCGAACGCCGCCAGCCCAGACAAAGTTGGAGTTTACCAGCTCTCCGAGCAGAGCGAGGACACCCTGTGCTTGATCTGCGCACACACGCGCGCGCGCACACACGCAGTGCGAGGAAGTGACCACTCCTGTCTCACTGGCCGGAGGGGTAATTTCAGAGCTGGCTGCTGTTTGCACATCTATTACGTGCTTCTTTCCTGCTCACTTCTGAGATGAACCAGGAAAGAAAACAAACCATAAACATCCATCACTTTACACACATATACATACATATTTCCCTTTTCATCTAAATGTGACCTTTACCAAAAATGATGACAGCAGTGTTATAGTTGTAACTTTATAACACCTTTAATTCTTGCTACAGCATTTTTTGATGTAATGACAACATAAACCCAGTGCCTTCAGAGCAATTTAATAATGCAGGCATATGCTACTGTATATCACCTCTGAAGTCTTCTGCTTTTGCTCTAGAGTCTATTTTGAGGAGAGGCCATCCCCCATACCACCCACACCACTGGCCACTTGTTACATTATTCAAGAGGGAGGGAAGGCAGACACTCACCACGCAGTAGGCAGGCAGACACCGATACAGAAAGCTGAGCATTTTCTGCCCACAATGTGTGCTAACACATCACGGATTTATTTAGACCCTAAGATGATGTTTAGCAGGTGTATATGGTTGCATTTTAAAAATCCAGCTAAATTACAGTTCCTTTTGTCCTTCTTGAACTTTCATAAGAATCAGCTTTGTTGAAATTTCTTTACTGCTCATGTCACATAGTAATGGAAATATCGGCATATTGAACATTTTAATAACCGTCCTGAAGATGGTCAGAAGTAATCAATTGCTAGAACTGTTCATGGTGGCCCGTGGATAGACAAATCCTAACACTGTTCTCTGCCTACAAACAAAAGCAGAAAGAGAAAATAAATGGAATAACCACCAAATTTGTTACAGTCTGTCAGTTTTCTATGTCAGTATCCTGAAAGCATGAAGGCAGCTGAGCCTGAAAGGGCTCAGGTTATAACACAGAATAGTGGACAAGTTAAAATTTTGATCTAGCGTTCAGTAAAAAGATCAAATAAAAAATAATCCATTAAATCTCTGCAAAAATTGATGCATGTGCTAAATTTCATGACTATGTAACAGTTGTTGAGATATTTCGATGTTGGATCTAGACTGATATAGTTCGAGGACTTGATAAACCTATAAATTCTGGGTCCTACGAGGGTCCCAACATGAGTAATTCACCACATAGACCATAGACCGTGCAGTCAGGCAGATCACTGCTAAGATGTTCTTTGATCTCAGTGTAATTATTCTCACTCTAATACGCTGTACCATTTCTCACAATGGCAGTGGATGACTTGGCTTTCTCACTGGGTCGTGGCTCCTCTCCGCTCTCACAGGATCTGAATTTGAGATGCACTGAAATCACTTCAATTACCTCATTTTCCCTCTCTGATGTGCGTGTAGCCTCTCAGTCATCCAGGTCATGCTAGTCTCTAGTGCTTGAGAAGAAAGCAACCAGACTTCATCAGCCTCCCACTGATGTATATCTTCTGTTTAGCTGTCATCACGTGGTTGATTGCTGCTGAAAACATGCTCACTTTTCTTCTTCTGATAAAAGAGGAATGGTAATAGCCCGCTGTCTGGAGTTAGAGTAATTGCTCATCCTCTCTTATGGTGTTTAAGAAGCTACTGTAGACATTATTTTAGATGGGGTACTGCAGCCTCGCGAAACTTCATTAGGCAGTAGCACCTCCTGTATGTGAACATGAAATTGCTGAATTGTAGTTACAAACACGCAAAAGTAACAGAAGCAGCAAATGGCTTAACTTGAATGAAAGATATAGGAAGTGTTCGATATTTCTCATTTGTGTACTTTTGTGTTTATAATTCAGCTTTGGCAGCTGTTAGAGCATCTATTCAGTTCACAGCAGGTCAGATTTAATACATATTAAAAGTGTACTTCATTTACAATCATCTCACTTCGTTTGATTTTGACTTCAATGCCAGTGTTTAGTGTTTCTGTATTTCTTATTGGTCAACAAATAAAAATTTGAATATAAACTGAGGGGCTGATAATAAATGATCAGAAGTATTGTGCCAGTTTAAATTTGGAGATTGTAGCAGAGGCTTTGATAGGCAAAAGGAGTACAGACAGACAAAGTTGGATGGATTTCCTCGCGCTTCTTTGTTTCACATTCGTCCATGAAATGCTTTTCTCGTTCCCATTTCCCTGTGATACAAAGATTGATTTGTAGCCTTGATGACGACATTAAATTTGACAGATTATTTAACTAAAATGATAAGATGTGGAGTTTTGATAAACACAAAGAATAAAAGCACAGGTTGGTATCATTTTCATGAATGGTTGAAATACAATGGCTAATGTCTTCATTTCGCCAGATTTTCAGTCACATTTCTGACTTGCTGCTTGAATATCTGCTATTCATGTTTTATGAAAACACGCTATAGTGTCCATGTAATGTTTATAAACCTTCCTTCACCAATTGAGATGGATGACATGCATCCCACATGTTGATTTTTGCAGTAAATAAATTTTTCTCCCATGTAACGACGGAGGAGTGTGCATATCTAGCCTGGCAGTCAGACCCTTTATTTTTTCTATGATAAAGGAAACATTGTTATCACGACTTAAATACGGCCTCTCGACGCTACTTTGCAGGAAGACAAGTATCCACTTGTACGATGTTGTATTGCTGTCAGCTGATCTGCTGGTTAATGTCACTCTGTATTTCTCTCACAGCGTGAGTAACAAAGGCCAGTCAGATCTTTAGTCACAGTTTACACTCACAGCTTACTTAATGCAAGAAAAACGTCATCTTATTTAGTGATATTTTGTAAAACACTATTCATTGAAGCGAGTGTTACATTTCACTCACAGCAGCTCTTTGGAGGATTTTCTTCAACTCTGATTCTCAACATCGCTCGTTTGAAGTTCTGAGATATTTGTTCGAAGCCTTTTCTAATGTCATCTGCTGAGGGGAGATATGCCATTTCCTTCTTTCATCAACTGCTCCTTCAGTGACGGTGGTACTTTGTATGTAAACCAGTTATATTTATTCTACCTTGGCTTTCTTCCTGCATGAAGCTGATTTCATTTGATTTGGGATTTAAACAATTCACTGAATGCTAACTAACTGTTGAACAGGGTATTTTCTAATACACAAGGGTTTCTTTCTACATCTGCTTATACAGTAATGTGCAGAAGTCTTGAGCTATCTCTCATTTCACTATAGTTGGCTTCCAAGGAGCTCTTACATGTTCTTCAGCGATAGCTCTCCAGGTTTTCCAGAGATCTTTCCTTTTGACATTGGCGGTGATTTCACTCATTTCCAGTTTGCTCAAATAATTTTTGTTTTGTTTTTGTTAAGTATAAAACATGAAAAAGGCTCAACAACAGGTGTTGTGCTTTTACATAAGAAAGAAGTTAGCAAGGAACCAATTTTAAATGATATATTTTAGCACTTTGTTACTTGCAGCCTATCACAAAAAAACGATTTATTCTAATTTCTTTAGCTGAATCTACAAAATGCCAAAGATAACAGTTTTACAGGTATAAAATGTTTCTGTAGTCGAGTCGAGTTTTTGTATAGCAGGTTTAAAAGACATCAAGTGTCAGCCTGAACAGACGGACAATGTACTCAAAATACAAGAAAGAATTCAAATAAATAAGATAAAAAGATTACAAGAAATCCATGTATATGTGCACACACTTATATACAAATGCCTATACAAGTACACACACACACAGGTATGCACATGGACATGAATACATATATACATATACAAATGCATACATCATTTTATAAGATAAAAAACAAAAGAACCAAGACTGAACAGACCCGTCTGTGAAAGCCTGTGAGTGTAGGAAGGTCTTCAAGTTCAGTCTGAAGATTTCCAAAGAGGACTTTATAAAAGAGGGAAGACTGTTCCAGAGTCTTGGAGCAGCGACGGAGAAAGCCCAGTCACATTTAGATTTTAAGTGGGAGTGTGGGACCAGTAAGAGCATCTGACTGGAGGAATGCAGTTGGAGCGGGTAAGTGCAGGAGATCTGAAATGTAACCTGGAGCCAACCCATGGAGAGCTTTAAAAATGAACAATATAAGCTTGAAACTCTGTATAAAACTTGCTGCCCATGTAAAGATACGAGTAATACTCTCTCTTTTTATCGACCTTGAATAACGAGAGCTCAGACAGAGAGGAAGAATAAAGGTGATCGTAACAAATACAAGCTTGTTAAAATACTACGATTTGTGTTTGTTTATATACTGTATTTAAATCTATGTTTGCACACATTTCAGTAAGTTACTGCAGCTATTTCCCTTCTTGCAGGCAAACTATAAAGCCTTCACAGGGTTCAAGGCACTGGTACAGGACTCCCAATAAGTGGTGATTTTTAACCGAGCACTGGAGTAAAAAGTGTAGTTGTACTTTCATTATCAGACGTTAATATTAACAGTTTTGTGATGCAGCTCATGACCTATCCAAAGGGCTAAGTGTAGGCACTAAACCCATTCATATAAACACATATCATAACACATATCATAAACACATATCATAATTTGGTCAAATAAACAAATAGATATAGAATTGAGTTTCTTTTTAGAAAAAGAAACTCAATTCTGCATGTTCAAATATTGCATTTACCCAGTGCATTTAAATATGATGCTTTTCAACGATCCGTTCAGTACTAGTTGTCACTATTGCTGTGACCTGGTGCAACAGGGCACCGACACCATACCTTGTGTGTGTGAATTGCAGCAGGTAAGTCTATAACCAATGAGAATGGGAACCCCCAGCTTGGAAACACTTTGTCCTCCTTTTGCACATATTGTACAGGGAGTGGTTTGAATTTGGACTAAGCTCAAAAACACAGCAACGTACTGTTTTCTGCCACTTCAGATTACAATGATTTGCATTAATTTCCTGGAGATTTACATTAACCCTAATTGCCAGATGCCTATCCTAATGCTTAAAGTAACTGTAACCATGTCTACTCATCCTCAGTTACTTTAAATGGTTTTGGTGTTTGTCCCCATAATGTGCAAAAACATAGATTTATGTCTTTAGAA